TTTTTTTTTGGGGGGGGGTTTGCTTTTCGTTTGTTTTTTTATATTGTTTTTGTTCACTTTTTTGTTGTAGATCTTTATCAACTCAGCGAAAATGTTTTGATCCTTGACAAAATGTCCTTTCTACGAAAGAGAGAAATCATACCGGCTGCCTGTAACCGTAAGGCAAAGAGCGAAAGCATTACAAAAATCAAGTGTCAAAACTTGTAGATCTAGCTGTGTGTGCCTATTCTATATTTCAATTAAGTTTTAGTTACATTTGGTCGTGTCCCAACAGTGCCAGGGTTAAGGATCTCACGTGTGTCAGCAGTGATATCTGCAGTGGAGGAGTCAATGGTTCTAATAAAGCTCAAAATTTACTTAATATTTCACACATTTGAGAGGGGGGGGGTGGTTGGGGATGTGGCTTGGGGGGTTGGGGTGTGGTTGGGAGTGTGTTTCAACACTTTAAAAAAAGACGTTAAAGCACTGCTTGTCAGCTTTTTTTATAACCAGCTCTCATTTTTTTCTATCGTGCATTCCGCACTTTCCACCGGCATGCATTTCAAAAGAGGCATTAAATCAATGATACATGCGCCTGATCCCCGCCACCCACCAAAATAACAAAATGGGCCATTAGTGGGTGATTTAGACCAGGTTGGTAAGCCCTGAGTAAAAAAAAAATCTTAATAATAGTGTTTATGTTCCCTCTGTTGCTTCTGTCTGTATGCCTTACCTTTCCCAAGCACCAAATGACCATTATTATGTCGATGTTGTTCTCTTTACTCAAACAAACAAAATGTCATTTGTGCCGACCTTGATTGAGCTAAAAGAAATTAAAAGTCTCTTCAGGGAAAGACTTAAAAGATATTAATTGCTTCTGTCATGAAAGAGTTAAAGGACATTAAATATCTTTGCAGTGAAAGAGTTAAAAGACATTGAAGACATCAAATATCTCCACAGTAAAAGAGTTAAAAGACATAAAATATCTCCACAGTGAAAGAGTTTAAACAAGATAAAAGATGTTACCTGTCCTTATCTCCCTCGTAGACCCTGTACCTGGCAGCACGGCTGTACCGCACAGTTTCCTGCGTCTTTTTGTTGGGCACACGGTATGCCAGGTCATCCATCTGCTCAAACCAAAGGCAGAAAAGGGTTGAAGGGAGGCGGGTAGGAAAATGGACATGATCGGTGTACGCCATGCCCATTAAAAGACGTAATAATAATATTATGTAATGAATAGTATTTGTACAGAGTAAATTCCCGCTAAACAGCAAGTTCTGTGCGCTTTACACTCTATAATACTATTACCCCAGTAGACCTGGTAGCTTTCTGAGATAATTTTAACTTCCTGGGAAGCATACAGTAGACCGACCCATTATACAGGCGTGCAATCTATAATACTATTACCCCAGCAGATCTGATGGCACTCTGAGACAATCTTAACCTCCTGGGAAGCATACAGTGCAAGCAGCCATTTTTAGAGGCGCTAGAACATCAATAAACTGACAAGATCTTTCGCTGTCTATGGCCGGGTACTCATTCACAGTGACCAGTGTAAAATGAGGAAAATTCACGTAAAATGCCTTTCCCAAGGACACGACGTCGGGCCTGAGCCTCGATCCCCCGACAACGCAACCTCATGATTACGAGCCCGGTAGCCTTATCAGTGGACTATGGACTTCATATTAATAATAAGGTATATTGAATGAGAATAATGCTCATTAATATAATACATGTATTAGTATTAGATCTCAGGTGTCAAACTAAAAGCCCGCGGGCCGCATTTGGTCCTGCAAACAGTTATATGTGGACCATGAGAAAGCTTTAATATAGTCCATCTAGCCATCTCCCACTTCTTTTTCGTTCTTTTTTTCACCTTTAAAAGGCCCCAATTGCTCGGACTGCCCATATTTATGTATATCCAGGCCGGGCATTAAGTAATACACGTCAGTACCTGGCTGGGTGACCACTACCCAACAAAATCACCAAATTACATTGCTCACTCGTGGGCGATATCGCCCAGGCGGGCAAGCACTCCTGTCCTGTATATATGATTTTATACCTGAAAAACCTATTCATTCAATACAAAATCTAATTGATATCTGGTCCCAAACCCAGTAAAACGCTGAGGGTACTTAAATTGTTGGATGTTACTGTTTTGGTAATAATAATAATAATAATAAATAGCATTTGTATAGCGCATAACCGCGCTCGACAGCAAACTCTATGCGCTTTACGCTATATTAATGATAATAGTCAAAAAGTGCACGGCTCTGATGTTTTACCCTTTAGTATTGGGGTAAAGATTGGAGACAGACTGCATCTTATCTTATCTTATCTTATCTTATCTTATAATGAAATAAGAATCTGGAAAAAGTGTACCTGTCTGAGGTGTTTCAAGGGCATGTCTTCTTTCAAAGGTGAACATAGAATACGGTAGTTCCACTGAGCGTAAGTTGGTTCACCTAATGGGGATTACAGCGATACGATGACAAGAATAGAACATGTTATTCTGATGATAATAATCGCATAACGACAACAATAATAACAACAAAGCGACAAAAGCAGGCAGTAGTAGTAGTATTGATAATGATATTGACGATAATGATAATACATGTAATAATTATGATGATAGACGTGACAGGCCCTAATAATGGTAACAATAGCATTAATGATAGAAATAATGAAATAATAATAATAAATAGAATAATAATGGAGAT